TCAGAGTCAGCTCTTACAGAGGGTGCTTCTGGCCTCACCTCACAGTGAATGTGGCAGGTGGGGGCACTGGGTGGTGATCTCCTCAGCAGTTCCCACCCAGGGCTGGCCAGACCCTGGGTGAAAACCAGTCAGGAGGGTTCTTCTTGCCTTGTTGTGGACATTATCCATATGGCAACCCTCCTTCAGGGCTGTGGGTTTAACCCCAGCACTTCAAGTTCCAATACAGAATCCCTGGCAAGAGGGACCACGAAGATGAACACATCAGGTACGTATGGAGAAACTGGAGCACCTGGGAGTGAGGTAAGGAGTAAAACCACCCCAAACAAAAAAAAAACCAACAAAAAACCCTCACAAACCTCTAACAAAAGTGCTAATAACATGATAAAATTAGGTGCTGCAGCAATACTGGACCTAGAGAACTATTTAGTCACACCAGACAGTTGAGAGAAACTAAAGATCTGATGATCTTCACAGCTTTTATTCTCTCCAAGTAAATGCACATGCAGACCATAAAGAAATAAGTTTGACAACTTGTCCCTAATTTCCATACCACTTCTGAAGAGCTCTCTTAAGCCAAAGAGATCAGAATATGGGCTGGGACTCAGAGACATTCAAACTTAACACGAGACACCTTCTGTTAAACCAAACCAGCAAGACAAAGATGAAGTAAATAAGGAACAAGAGTTCCTGCCCAAGTCTCCAGTTTCTTCCCTGTCACTCCTAAATTCTGGGTAAGTTTAGGCTTCTACAGATGTCAGTTTCTTATACTATGAAGCATATTGCCACATAGAGCATAGAAAGGAGAAGTGGAGCCATACTGATCTCTGTTCCTGAAGACTCCCCAGAGGATGCTGATGGAGACACAGAACACTGCCAGCAGCAACATCCGGACCTGCGGGCGCTTGTGGAAATACGGCAAGTTGTTGTCTGGGATCCTGCAAACAAACACACCAAAGCTACAGCTGTCTCTGCAGCTACCCTCCTCCTTCACAAACATTTTCAACTATGACACCACCTTGTGAACCCCACACCAACCCAAAACTGTAAAAAAATAGCTTTGTCTATTAAAAACTTAGGAATTGCCACATACCTACATTTTCCCAAGGGGAATCTTCTTACGAATGGAGACAGACAACTGTAGAGACCAATTGAGGCAGCCAGGCAGAATATTCCTATGATGACATAGACTGATAAAGAAAGAGTAGTAAGTCCAAGCAGGATAAGGGAAGAGATGCTTTATTTCATACCCTGGCTGAATGAGGAACAGACAATCAAAAGGCCTGAATGAGAATGAAGGTTTATATTTCACCAGTGAAAGTTAAATTCAGAGACTTCAAATAACTGTTGATTAGATTCATGCTCTTTATCCAATTTTAGCTCATTTTACTCAGGTGTACTTTATGCAACAGCTACTTCAACAAAATCAACATCTTGTGCTAATATTCTTGAAGGCATTAATCAGAAACCTAAGGGGCAAGTCATGATGAAGTGTTTTTCTTCTCAGTATATGTGAGCATTATAAGGGAACTCTTAAAGTCACTCAGTAGCAAACTGAGTGGGATGCAACTTTCATAACTTCCTCAGAAATATGAGGATGGCAGTTCCAGCACATTAGGCTCTCACATTCTTTTGTCAATCAATTTGATAAGTTTCATACTGATAATTTTATAAAGATAAAATTGATCCTGGGATCCTGTAACTTCAAACTGAACAATGACAGAGAGACTAGTATAGGTTTGAGAACACTTCTGTCATAAGAAAAGGTGGAAGATGTTAAGTCTGTATCTATTTAAGAGGCTTAATGTTTGAAAGGAGCTCTGTGATCACCTAATCCAACCTTGCTAAAAGTAGGTATGGAAGGCTGCTTGGTGGGCTTTCTTAGAGGGTTTTACTTCACACTGGGATAAAAAAACATGCAATAAAAATGTCCTTTAAATGATGGCATCCTTGTGATATTGAAGATGTATGAATGCAAATATAATTTTAGGAGTACCTAAGTGGTCATAGAAGAAATAAAGGAGGACCAGCATTGAGCAGCACATCACTACAAACACACAGATCATTATTGGAGTCACATCAACTGTTTCATCATCATGTTTCTCTGCCCCATCATCACGTTTGTGCTTCATGTACCGCCTGAAAGAGTAACAGGGTGAGAGTCAGTCACAGGAGAGGACACTGGATCTCCAGGGGGAGCCACATGGGGTTTGAGAACACGACCCAACACCAATGGCTGCAATGATTTTCACTGAAGTCAGTGGGACTCCATATTTTACATGGATGTCTGAACATCAGATATAATACAAGGCATAAAATTAAGTGCTGCATTACTTTATCAAGAGTACTGGTTTTCATCCACTAGGGACTCAACTGAATCCTGAAAATTACCACAGAATAATTTGCTGATTTCAGAAGAAATCCTAAAGTCAGAATGTATATGTAAGGTAAATGTTAAAAATAAGTGCAGCACATATGATCTCCCCCAACTCCACTTACTGGCAAAAAGTAACCATAAAACTTCAATAAGAGACTCATAATAAAGGTATTATATGTTAGCCATCTAATCACTTTTGGTTTTTTGTTTGGTTTTTTTTTTTTTGTTTTGTTTTTGTTTTTTTGTTTTTTACTATACTAGTAAAAATATTTTTTTTATAAAAGATTTTTATGATGAATTTTTGGAAAAGCTGAGCTAGGGAGCCCAGTAACATCCAATCCTCCCTCTGAGCTTCTCGATGAGACAAAATACATGCAAAATATACCCTAATAATTCCATCCCATGACAAAACCAATACAAGCTCAGGCCCTTTCAGATGCCACATGAGCATTTGCTGAGTCTTCGAGCTTCACTAGCATACCCAGCAGGTGATCTTTAGAGAAATAACATTTTTTTTTTTTCTGTGAAAAATACAAGAAAACTGACCTACCCCACTCCAGTTACTCACTTTTTGACATCTCTGCTCCCTGCCCAGTAGCCCCCGATGGCCACGGTGCCCACGGCCATGACGAAGATGATGACCATGTTGTAGTCCAGCACGGGCTCGTTGGGCGCGTACATCGCCCCCCGCGCCGCGCCGCCGAAGCTCTGCGGAGACACGCGTCGGCCAACGGGCAAAGCTTCAGCTCCTTAGTCTCCAATCAGTACCCTCAGAAACAAGCTTTCTAATCAATACTTAAGAGCATTCTATTTGCTTTGCTAACGTGATATTTATTTCCAGCCCTGGGCTCCATTTTGGGTTTATTCTGAAGATGAGAAACCACCTCCCGAGAGAGCTGCGCCTTTTCTTGGCCAAACACGCACTCCTCATGAACACAACTCTACAGATCTCAAGCTCTTATGGTGGTCTTAAAAAACTGTTGAGCAGTGACTAAATTAAATAATATAAATCAGAGCATTTAATATCAAGTTTACCTTGCCAATATCTAACATATCAGTGTAGCTGAGCAGAGCCACAGGAATATCAATCTCTTCATATTGACTCCTGTTACCTCCAGGAGGAACCTGGAAGACATTTCAGACCAGTGAAGAACACATTCATTTATGCAAATACTTCCACTACTTCAGAAGGGTTAAAGTCACAAATTCTGTTTCTGTTGGTTTGGAAAATATTCTAGAAAGGAACATAATGACAGCAAAACTTCAAAGTCAAAATTTATGCCTGTTTCCAGTAAAATAAGTCATTGGCGACACGATTAATGCAATTATCAGTAAAACACAAACTTTAAGTGGTATCTTTTTCACATCAGTGTCATGGTTTTATGACTGATGGGTGCCTCCAGTGTTGACAGCAGTATTCAAACCCACTAATCTTACAAAACATAGGCTGGCAATGCTCTGGCTGAATCTAAAGCACTAGATTCATTCTGCTCCAGATCTCACTGAAGTTGGTGGCACGAGTCAAGAAACCAACCTTGTCCTTTGAGTCCAGCATTTCATGAGAGGTAATTCTGACCCCTTGACTCAAGTGTTACACAGGCTGTTCCTACTGAAATGAGTCCCTTGTCTTGTTTCATTAATCCTTCCTCCAGATGTACTACTCAACACACAGCTATGCAATGTACACGGATGCATAAACACATACACACATACACATAATTTAAAGAGGAACATCAAATATTGGCAACAAGCACTGAAGACAAGACAATATCTCACATCAGAGACATATCAGCCCTACAGAAATGCAGCAAGAGACTTACCAGTCTCTCCCTACTAACAATCAGCAGCCCACGAGCTCCATTTATCTGAGCAAGCCTCACTTTCTCATAGAAGGTGCAATTCCCTCTCATCACCATGGGGATTTGGTTGTTGAACCCTCCAGTGGGTACATCAGCAGGAGAACACAGAACAGATGCTGTCTGATCCTGCAGCTGCAAGAGTGACTGGAAAGAAAAAAAAACAGTTAAATATAGACATATTAAAAAACAATAAAACAAGACTAGAAACTACAGAGTTTCTGAAGTGTAGTTTAGAACTTTGAAGTAAAGAGTGACAGAGTATTCTCAGAGAAACTAGAGAGCTGTGACAGTGCTGACCTGGCTATCAGGTAGGGTCCTGCCTTGCTTCACCTTATTGCATACAATTGTACTGGCAATAACATTTGGGTTATGATCTGCACTTGCATTTGTTTTCTTCAGCACTGCTGCTGTTCTGATGCATCTATGTGGGATGTAGGAGGAGTCCAGCAAAGCGTTGTGATTGCTGGGGTGGCACAGGGTGGCAGAGTGAGATGATGTAGGGTGTGAACAGCTAGAAACACAAACACAGACTGGGGTAAAGTACAAAAGCACAGGCAACAAAAACAAGCTTCCATTTTGAAGCCAAGCATGTCTGGTTAGATGAGATTTTGGAACCTAAGCTGCTTCTCTTACTGTTTGTGATTCAGAAATGTTGCAGGCCAGCCCCAGTTCCTTAGTTTTGGTCTGCCTCAGACCCAAAGACATCTCCTCTGGTATGTTTACACAGGAGCAAGCCAAAGACACTTCAAGGTTTTAGAAATAACACCAGCATGAATTGTTCCTTGGAAAATCTAAACAAGTCTCTTGCTTTATTCCATTTGCAAGTGCCCCCAGAAAAATGCCTGATTCTTGCTGTAAGCTGTGCTAACAGAAGCACATCACAGCCTAGTCTCACCAGGGGCTGAGCTGTTAGGTTTGAGAAGTGGCAGGTTAGAGTTTTTACCTGAAGAGCTGACACATGTAACACTCTCTATTAGGAAACCACAGGCACACGACACACCACCAAACACCTTCCCCTCCTAAAGCAGTGCAGTCAGTTACACAGGCAACAGCTCCAAGCTGATTCAGGAAACTGCTGTCTCCAACCTGGCCCCTCCTTTAGGGACAATAAAACGTCTCTGCACACACTTACTGGTTGTCCAGGTTTCAGGAAAGCTTATCAGCTCTACCAGACACAACACTAACTCACAGTGAGCTCAGGGTGGTGCACTGCATCACCTTGGGGGACAAACTGTACTGCTGGAGTGCCAGAGAGGAGGAGGAGGAGGGAGAATGTGAAGGAAGGGAAAGGCAAAGGGAGAGCTGAGGAAGGACATGAGGACAGGCAAGGGATACAGCACAGACAGTCTCAGTGATCTGTGGGAGGCAGATCAGAACCAGCTGAGTGCTTGTTTCATGCAACCCATTCTGGACTATGCTGCCTCCTGCAGAGCTCCTGAGATACGTCTCCAGTGAGACTGGTTGAACCAAGGATGTCCACAGTACAGTCCCCAGCTCTCACAAATCCCACAGTCTAGGACACTGGAGACTCTGTGGGAAGTCTGCCTGGATCCAGCTGAACAAGACCCTAAAGCTCCTGAAGCAGAGGGACACTGTCCACTGTGCTGACCATGTTACTCAGCCAGGTGAAGTGCAGGAGTGCAAGTGCTGGGTTTGCACAAGGGAAAGGCCACTGCAGAATCTGAGCTGTCAACATCTCTAGAGAGGAATCTGCAGTTGGGATAAACCCACCAGGGGTTACTAAGACTTGCTTATACATTGATAACAAACATTAATAACTCTATGTGGCAGTATCAATCAATTACTCCACATCTTCCCCAATAAGTAGCTCATTCAAAGTGTATTTGCTGATTCCATCACTCAGCAGCAGTAACACATTCCCACAGAACAGTGAGGAGTCGACTCAATTGCCAGCTCAAGCAGCTCTGGATAATGCAGGAAAAGCCTGACACAGCTTGTGACTACTTATTCTGACCCCTGACAGAGTATGAACCACTGAGAAAGCACCAAAAGTCACAGTTCAGTGTACTAGCAAGGCCATGTGGTGTCTTTTTTGTATCACACTGACATGCAAAAGCTCCTTTCCAGGCACAGGCAAGTGCCATTTTCATTTAAATGATCATGTTGTGCAAAAGAAAGACTTTTGTTTTGAATCAGAAATAGTCATTACCTCCACATGCTGCCTGGAAAAGAGTATTGCCATTACAGTACTGCCTAGGGTGACCTGAACAGAAAAAATATTTCCTAAGGAGAGCAAAGTAGTTGCTTCAAATTCTGCTAATCCAAGTTAGAAACAAGAACTTTCCCTGGAACAAAAGCATTTTTTAATACCTTACTCCATCATTGCTTAGCTAAGTACTTACAGCCTTCCCCAGATCATGTGGCAGATGGGCCCACTGGGAGTTGAAGAGGATACAGTAGTCTTTCCCTTTGCTGCTCCCCTTCTCTGAAAGGACATGCACCATCCCATACTCACAGCACACCTGAAAATGTTAACAAAAAATTCACAACAAGAACTTTAGGTCCCATGAAACAGCAGAAGTGATGTGTGCAACTGGCTGGTGACCAGCCTGCTTTGTACTGTAAAGAAACCCAAAAGATTCCACGTGGTACCTGTGAAGGGAGTAGAGTAGAATTTGCTATTTCCACCATGCTTCAAACAAAGCCCTCATCTGCATTGGACAGAGTCCCTCTTGCACAGCAACTGCCCAAGAACCAAAGGAAACCTCACTGAATGTTACTGCATGTGGTTTCTTTTTAAAAAGAATCAACAACCCCAAACAACACAGCCAGTATGGTGTTTATATGTATGTCACTTGAGCAATAGAAACCAGCTGGACTGCTGCAGAACAACAGTTCAGAGAGCTAGAACAAGAGGCCTGGCCCCTACCAACTCCTGAAAGCACAGCCTGGAAGTCCTGATCAAATTCAGACTCCCATCATGGCAAACCTCAGCCCTGGACACCTCTGCTGTATTTCTAAGCAGACCCCACAGCTCTTTGGATGTCCTCAGGAGCACATGTGGGTTCTCCAGACTGCATGTGCTTGTCACTGCTGGCAGAACTCCAGGGCTGTTTGCTCCAAGGAGTGATGACTGTAGATCCAAGGGTTCTAATGAAGGTCTGGCTGGGGTGAAGTTCACTTTCTTCACAGCAGCTGGGTGTGGTGGTTCAGATCTGTGACCAAAGCAATGCTGATTAAGGCTTTAGCTGTTGCTAAACACTGTTTGCATGGTGTCAAGGCCTTCTCTGTTTCTCACTCTGCCCCCCCAGAGAATAGATGGAAGTGTGCAAGAGGCTGGGGACACAACCAGGCAGATGACTAAACCAAGAGACACCCCGTGCCATCATGCTCAGCAACCAAAAGTGAAGAGAAGGGGTTTTTAGGGAGGTTAGATATGTTTTGCTCAGGAACAGGCTAGACACTGGTCTTCCTGTGGGAGGTGCTGAGTGCCTGCCTTGGCACCACTCCTTTTAAGACAAGTATTTTCAGCTTTCCATCCCTGCAAAATGACACATTGCAGTTTCCTCATTATTCTGGTTATGTCAGGTTGCATCAGGCCATTTTCCAGCCAGACTGGAAGACCCACAGTCCAGCAGGGGGTGACTACTCAGCACCAGCAGGTACCAGCAAACACCTCCTTACTGCAGTTATTCACCAATCCTGATATTCTTCCTGATGAGACCTGTTGTGTTTTCTCCCTTCCTTCCCTGCCTGCATACAGAGACACTATTTTGTGAATTGGGTATAGTCCTCATCCTCCACCCAAAAAGCCAGACCAAAAACACCTACAAGGCCACACACAGAACGTGCAAAAATAACTATTTTTGTGGAGTTGGTGCAGTTATCTGCTTTGCCACCAAGTCCTCGTAGGTATTTACCCAAGAAACCTGAAATCAGGAAGACAAACAAAGCAACTATGGAAGAACATGCAACTTCCCCACCACTAATGGTGGTTTTATTTAACCTTCACTAGGGGTGACTTAATTCTCTTATTAATGGAACCAAAATACTTGCAAATCCTCCCCATCCTCAGAAACTGTTGAAGGAACACAAGCTAGATGATGAGGTCTACTGTCACCATACTTGCAGTCCAAGGACTCTGATTCAAATGCTAATTACTTCAGTGCTTTAGCTTCATATGAGCTATTCCTCAGGAAAAAATTTACCATATATTAAATGTAGCACTATCAAAACACTATTTTAGCCCAGCAATTTGGGAATCCAGTGCTTGGGAATACCAAACATAGTTAACATAACTTGATTTTTCCCAGTATAACTTTTGTGTTCCAAGAGCATTTGCTTCCTATTGCAAAGAGAAGTTGCTCCACTCTATTGGCACTTTAACTGAGAGCTCTTCAACAATCCTTAACAGCACTTAGTGCTTTTAAATTATTTTAAAAAAAAAAGCCTATCTGAAACACATAAAACAACTGACCCAGATCTCACCTTAACTAGTCACAAGTTCTGTTTCTGGTGGAACTGCCCATTCATTAGTGACCCCAGGAGAGAGGATGAGCAGAGACCATCCCCCAAACAACCCCCCATCTATCTTCTCTTTCTACTGCCCCCCTTCACATCCCACTGACCCAACCCCTGCATATTGAGTTTTGCCCCAAGCAAACCCCTTTGTGCCTGCCAGAACTGGTGAAACCTCACCTGGAGAGAACCACAGTGTGATATCCCTAACCACTGCTGCTAGAGAGCTGTGACAGACTCATCTGTCAACATCCAGATTAACATTCATAAGCTAAACAGACTAATGATTTGATAATTATACACTCACACTCATACAAACACATCTGGCACACTTCTCCAGGCAGCAGCTGAGAAACAAGATCTAAAGATGACTGGAGGCAGCAGAAAAGTCGTGTCTTAACACATTTGCTCAGGAGTCCATTAACAGAAGCCATTGTTCTCATTTCTCCCTTGTTATTTCAAACCCCACTACACAGAAGTGACCCTGCACCCCTCGGAGACACTCAGGGGAAAAAGATGCTTTTTGGAACACTACAAAGGATGGTCCTTTAAACCTAACAAAAAACCCTCCATGCTGCCTGGAGGATGAATGATGCCTTTCTATTGCAAGGTGTCAGCCAGGAAGTGAAGAAACATCATCCTGAAAAGACACAGGAGGTAGAGATTTTTCTGCTTAGCTTTTTTGTATGTAACTGGTCTCCTATAACTCCTGCAGCAACTTTTTCCTTTTTTTATAACACCAGCGTTTCTTAAGTGCTCTAGAATTGGTTCCCTTTGTCCTGAAGCAGGGGTTACACTGCTTATTGTGGTGCAGATCAAAGCCACTTGAGCAAAGTGCAAGTTTACAAGACACAGCTCTTGTGGAAGGGTTGACACTACTGTACTAAAATCATTTAGCAAAGAAATCCCAACTATTTACTATGCTGGACTTTAAAATTCATATTTCAGCTATCCAACCATAGCACCTAAAACCCTTTCAGCAAGAGGAAGAAGTATTGAAAAAATAATCCATTATTATAATCTTGAATTTTATTTTCAAGAGTAATGAGTCACAGAGATCCAAATACAGACACAAATAACACCTGAGCAAAAGTGTTTCAGTGTTTCCTGCTTATTGTTAAAGGATCTGACTAGGGTTAAAAAAACCCCAAACATCAAGTAGCTCAGTTTTTAATATTATGTATGACTGCCTCCAAAATCTTCAGGCAGTCTGGCTGGAGCTGCCTACCTGTGACTGAGCAGCTTTAGGCATCTAAAAAAACAACCAACCTGTACAGCAGAAAGTTGATAAGATATAAGCTACACACCTTTTAAGAGGAGAGTAAGTACAGGGCATATTGTTGCATTTCCACTTAGATAACCATTACTGGAACTCAGTAACAATCCCCAAATGACACACTGAAGACAGTCACACAATTATGCTTTCTGAGAGACTTAACAGATGCTATTTAAGGAAACATTAAGGGAGTAAAAGGTTTCTGATGTCAAGTGCTCAAAACACTTTGGAGGCTGTGTGGTTTTGAGTGCCAAAAGCCATGTAAAAAAAGAGGATGAGAGGAATTAAAGGGAGTCAAGGGCTGGAAGTGCAGGAGGGTGGGCAGAGTTTCAGAAAGTCCCTGGAGAATGGAGGCCACAGAGAATGTTAACAGACATTTTTTACAAAGCACTTATCACTTTGCACCCAAGGGCAGCTCTGGAGCCTGTTACCAGCCACTCCCAGTTTATTCTTGCCCTCCCACCTAAGCAGAGCCACAGACATCAGGGTTTCTTCTTTCAGGACCACAGGACTTTGGTGCTTCCAGATTTGTTTTCATTTCTGTCAGTAGGTATCAGACAACAAAAGTAAGCTCAGAGCAGTGCAGCTGATGCACAGGGATGGTGGCAACACTGATGATGGTCCTCAGTTCCTAGAGATCACCCCACATCCTACAGTAACCCAGGAGGAATTGTCATCTCCTGTGCAGATCCCACAGAGCATTCCAACAACCCCAAAGAGCTCTTTTCTGAGGGCTTGGATACCAAGCCCAGCCCTGTTCAAGCACTGACAGAAATACAACAGCTCCTGGGGCAAAAAGGTGTTTTATGATACTTGGTTCTTACAGGACATGTGACTTAGAAAAGCTTCTACAACAAGAATGGGCCTCCCAGCCTCAAACAGGAGGAGTGACTTCTCCCAGTTAAGGAATTCTCTTTTCCCTATATGAATAAGAAGAGAATATTTGTAGTTAAACACTGTTACCTTCCACAACAACAGCCCCAAGGCCTCTGCTGAGCTGGAGACCTGCCACCATCACAGCTTTATACCTTTTTATTTTACCTTTGTAAAAGTTTAATATATGTTTTATATAAAGCTGCAAAACAATGCAAAGGTTTACACACTTGTTTGCTCTGAACCTCATCAGACCCCTCTGTGGTTTATTTGATGCATTAAAAGGGCACAACATAGCCCATTTTCCCCCCTGAGTCAGTTTTTTTCCTGTCATATTGGAAAATTAATGCAGGTCAGAGACAGGCACTAGGGCTTGCAAACTAAATGATGGAAGAAGGTGGAGAGGAGGAATTCAGCTCACTGATATTTCAGGAAACCTCCATGTTCATGACTGAGCCAAGCTGGTGGCTCACTCTTGTTCGTTCCTCCCTGCCTCTGTCCCCAGACTCACCTGGATGTGAAGTGAGGTCACTTTTTCCATTCCCATGAGCTCTGCCAGCTGATGTGGACCCTGAATCTGAGGGGTTTAACAGATGCTAGGAGACGTGTTCCTTGGAGAAGGAACAAATGAGCTGTGCTACTCTTACAGAAGGCATTGTGCAAGGTGAGGCACAGCAGAGCTCCCAGAGCTGGGCTCTGCTCCTTCCTATGAACTGCACCAACCAACTTGGGGGCCATCAACAGCAGAGAGCAAATTTGCACACCAAGAGAGCCCTGTACAGTGGGGCAAGGGCTCCACGGTCACAATGCAACACCTCCACAAGACTGAACTGTCAACCATCACCTTAATCCACAATTTCAGATGGTCTTTTCAACTCTTTGGACCCACATCATAGAGCACTCTAGTTTTAAACACAAAATCCATCATCCCAATTTGATATTCTGCTGAAAGCACAGTAGTGAAGACCAGTGAAATCCAATCTGCTCACTGTGGATCATGTTATACAGTCTCCCATAGTCAAAGGCTGAGGTGTACCTGCTCCTGTTACAGGAAAACTGAGAGGCAGCAATGCCAGGAAGGAATCATTAGAATGAGAGGAAAGTTAAATGAAAAGGGAGCACTTGGATACCAAAGCAAGATCTAAGTGCAGATTGTACTTGGAGCTATAAGGTCACACCCCTCTTTAGGTGTTCCCAGACAGGGCCCATGTTTGGAAGAGTCATGCTTCATTAGCCAAGCCTGTGGAAGCAAATGTGGGCACTACCTCCCTCAGGGGAAAAAAAATCAAACCAATCCATTATCTTATCTCAAACAGGGAGACAAAGACATATTCCAAACATGCCCAACAGCACTAAGCCAAGAGTAAGGCACTGACAAGTGGAGCTGGAGCACAGCAAGCACACACAGCAGCTCCCTGTGGGAACTCTCAGCTCTTGTCTCCCAGAACAACCCCATCCACCAGTCACTGCTGCACCACAGGTGCCTCAGAGCACTCCCCTGCCTCCAGCTGAGCACCATGTGCCACCTAAAACCACACCAGTGAGCACAAGGACAAACGATGTACAAGGATTGCAGAGCAGGGGGTGTCCAAACACATTTTAAACGAGGCAGCCTGGCTAACAGACAGATACCAGCAACGTGCAGCACACGGGCTTCTCCCCAGAGCAGCAGTTTCAGGGCTCTGGCCAGTCTGCTCAAAGCTTGCTCAAGCACCTGAGCACCACTCCCCTGCTCTGCCCAAGGGACCTGCTCGCAGAGAGGAAACACACCGAGCTGAAGTCAAGAGCTCCAGGTATCCACCTGCCAACTGCCTCACCTCCTGCCCTGCTGTGGGCTGCACTTCTTCCAAACTGATGGACCAAACCGAGTCCCTGCCAGTCCTTCAGTCTTTGTGAGGCCTGTGCTGGCAACCCCAGCCCACTTGAAGCGTTGTTAAACATGCTAAAATGAACAGGGGATGTGGGGAGTAACAAAGGGATGCTGGAGGAAGAGAAAAGAAGGGGATGACACAGAAATAAAAAATAAGTGAACTGTGAACCAGACTATTCTGTTCATCAAATCTGACTATAATATTCTGATAGTATTATATCATCTAATATTCTGATCACTACGGATCACTAGCAAAGACTCAGAAAGGAGGGAAAATGGTACGGAAGAGGGGAAAATTAGGCTGTCACATTAAGATGTTACATCAGTAATACTCAAGAAGACACAGCAGCCTCCAAATTACCTAATAAAAGAGTGAATAACTTTGAATGACACCTCGGCATTGTCAGAACAAACCACCTGAACTTAAAATAGCAAAGATAAGTACCACGAAGCATGATAGTTAGCCCCCCACTCTTTCTTACACCAGGCTTAGATGCCTAGTTTGTTTTGCTTATCCCACAAAACTTATTAGCGTTGTAAGCAACGAGAATACAAGGCTCAGGACAGGCTGCGTCTCGCACAAACTCCTTTCTGTTCTGCTGGCTGTTTCTCAGCGACAGTCTGCCGGTCAAGACGAGCCCAACGCCAAGAGCTGTCCCCGCCCCGGCGGCAGGCGCGGCCGGGCCCCAGCGCCTCAAGAATGACGAGAAATACGCCGTTAACTACGGCAAGAAGAAGAAAAACACACCAAAGCGAACACCTCTGGATACAGAGAGGCATCAACTCCGCTCGGTCGCGGCAGGCACCCAGCAGAGCCCCGGGGGTGCAGCCCGGCGGAGGAACGACGCTTGGCCGCCTTTCCTACCGAGGCGCGGGCTGATCTGGTCCCGTCCC